GTTTAGACTTGATAACCAACAAATTGGAAAACCCTGTTTCACAAAGACATGTTGTTGGAAATGGAAGAAGAAGGTGCAACACAGTCTCAGACAGAACAGGATATGACTGCAAACACTTGATCCCGAATTTTGTAACTGGCATTGTAGAGAAATCAGTTCTCGCTGCATCGTTGTTAATAAGTTCAATGAACTCCTCTTGTGCTGTCTCAGGAACATATTCAACTTTGACTGTGAATGGGCTTCTGGCAAGTGCAAATGAGGTGTCAGGTAGATTTAGAAAGTATGATGAAATTTCGTTTGCAAGCATGTGCAAGTGTTCTTTCACAGAAATTATCATCATAATCCTTTTGTCTGGTTCAATGTCATGTTCCTCAAAGAAAGCAGATAAGGTAGGCAACATATAAATTTTATGTTCACCCAATTTTTTTGGCCAAAGCTGAAGTTTCATTTGGAATATCGGATCTTTTCAGACAAATCGAGGCATGTTGCATTTGGTCCTTGCAGTGATAAATTTAACTCATTCAAGATGGCAAAGATGTCAACCAAGTAAGCTATTTTCTGCAGTTCACTTTTATTGCTGAAAAGTGCTTTGAACTGCAGTCTTGCTTTCTGATTAAAAAACGTTTGAGTTCATCACAAAGCTCAAAAACACATTTTAAAATTTTTCCTCTCGACAACCATCTCACTTCAGTGTGAAATAGCAGAGCATTGTTTGGCGCATCCAACTCGTTGCACAGTTGCAAAAACAGTCGACTGTTTAAAGTGCTCACTTTTACAAAATTGACACAATTTATGACGCTTTCATTACTTCTTGTAACTGTTTTTTTTTAAAAAAATATTTTATTGGTTTTTTACAGAGAGGAAGGGAGAGAGATAGAGAGTTAGTAACATCGATGAGAGAGAAACATCGATCAGCTGCCTCCTGCACATCTCCCACTGGGGATGTGCCTGCAATCCAGGTACATGCCCTTGACTGTAATCGAACCCGGGACCCTTGAGTCCGCAGGCTGACGCTCTATCCACTGAGCCAAACCGGTTTCGGCACTTCTTGTAACTCTTGTGGCAGCATATTCATTGCTAATATTTGCCGATGAATCATACAGTGAGTTCTGATGACTTTTAGTGACTCATTCAGTACCAAATATTGAAATCGAGATCGACATCCTAGCATAGTTGGAGCACCATCTTTGCAAACACCACAAACTATTTCCAAAGAGCTCACATCTCCAATCATAACTCGAACAATGTCTTTGGCTGCTGGCAACAGTAGATCCTCAGAAATGATGTGAGGTTTCATAGTTCTGGCGATTCTGAGTGCCACCAAATATGAAGCTTCAATGGCTGCTACGTTTTGTTTGTGGTACTTACCACCAGTGTCAAGTCTGGTTTTCTTGAGTCCATCAGCTTTGCTTCTAAAATAGTTTGTATCCTTGTTGGAAAAGCTTTGATGCTTGCTATCAAAATGGCGTTTTAGTTTGTTCGGCTTCATAGATTCAGCTGATAGAACTTCACAACAAATAACACATTGTGGTTTCTCAATTCCTGCTATAATTATTGAGGTAAAACCATACTGTAAAAAATCCTCACTATATTTTCTTTTCTTAACGTTCTTCTCTACACGATCCATTGTCATGGGATGGTTTGTTTATGAAAATAATATATAATAATAGCTTTAATAATACAAAAGATGATACATGGCACAGTTCAGTCAATACAGTTCATTAAAGTTTCCTATGATTTACCATTCTCTGTGTTGTTTTTTTTTTACATACCTGTTACTATCACAAGGGGGCAGTATTCACATCGACCACAGCTGAATATTAAAAGACCAATCAGCATCCAGATTAAGTTCCCATGGTACAGATATTTTTTTTTGCAGTAGTTGATGATTTTACAGTACATGATTTTACATTTACCCAGTAATTATAATTCATGAAGTGTTTAACCTCCAATACAGTAGCTGCTCTCTACACATGTGTGCCTGATCTGAATAAGTACATTATGGCGCCAACCCTGTCACATACATCTGTATTTGCATGTGGGCGGACCTGCCTGGAGACGGATAGAGGAGCGGTGTCTTGGTTCCTAAGACCATCCAAAATATGTGTTTTCCAATGGTCTTAGGTGACCCCTGTGAAAGGGTCATTCGACCCCCAAAGGGGTCATGACCCAGAGGTTGAGAACCGCTGCCCCAAGGGCTCCCAAGCTGCCAGAGGGATGTCTGTCTGCCAGCTTAGGCCCATTCTCCCAGGGAGTGGGCCTAAGCCAGCAGGTGGACATCCCCTGAGGGGTCCCAGACTGCGAGAGGGCACAGACTGGGCTAAGGGACCCCCCTGAGTGCACACATTTTTCTGCACTGGGCCTCTAGTAGGATAATAAAAGCCTAATATGCTGTGTCCAGTCATCCGGTTGGCTATTTAACCAATCAAAGCATAATTTGATAATGATATGCTAAGGCTGCTCAACCACTTGCTATGATGTGCACTGACCACCAGGGGGCAGATGATCCAAGTGGTAGGTTAGCTTGCTGCTGGGGTCCGGCTGATTGGGACTGAGCGAGATGGGCTGGACACACCCTGGAGCCCTCCCGTGGTCCCTGCCTGGCTGACCAACCTCCTGCATCCCTCCCCAGCCCCGATTGTGCACTGGTGCAGTACCTCAGCCTGGCTTGCACCCTCTCACAATCTGGGACCCCTCGGGGGATGTCAGAGAGCCAGATTCGGCCTGATGGTAGAACAACCAATCACTATGACGTGCACTGACCACCAGGGGCAGACGCTCAATGCAGAGGGAGCACTGCTCATCCAGAAGCTGGGCTAACTGCTGATGAGCACAGAGGTGGTGGTGGGAGCCTCTCCTGCCTCTGCAGCAGCACTAAGGATGTCCGACTGCCGGCTTAGGTGGAGAGAAGCCACCCGGGTCCCGGGTGTCTTGCTGGTGGCTGGAGGGAAGCCACATGGGTCCCGAGTGCCAGAGGGAAGCCAGTGCTGGCAGCCAGGGGAAGGAAGGCCTACTCTTGCATGAATTTTCATGCATCGGGCCTCTAGTGTTGAATAAGAGTGGTGAAAGCAGACATCCCTGTCTTGTTCCTGTTCTTAGGGGAAATGGTTTTTGTTTTTACCCATTCAGTATGATGTTGGCTGTAGGTTTGTCATATATAGCCTTTATTATGTTGAGGAATGATCTCTCTATTTCTACTTTGCTGACAGTTTTTATCAAAAAAGGGTGTTGGGTTTTGTTGAATGCTTTTTCTCTGTCAATTGATATGATCAGATGATTTTTTGTCTTTCAATTTGTTTATATGATGTATCAAATGTATTAATTGGCAAATATTGTACTAGTTTTGAATCTGTGGAATAAATCCCACTTGGTCATGGTGTCTGATCTTTTAATATATTGCTGGATCTCATTTGCTAATACTTTGTTGAAGATTTTAGCATTCATGTTTATCTAGGATATTCTATTTCTTTGTAGTGTCTCTGTCTGGTTTTGGTATTAGAGTAATGCTGGCCTTATACAGAGAGCTTGGAAGTATTCCTTCCTCTTGGATTTTTTGGAATAATTTGAAGAGGATAGATGTTAGTTTTTGTTTGTTTGTTTTTTGAATGTTTGGTAAAACTCCACTGGGAAGCTGCCTGGCCCAGGGCTTTTGTTTGCTGAGAGTTTTTTAATTAATGCTTCAATTTTATCAGTTATTATTGGCCTATTTAGGTTTTCTGCTTATTCCTGATTTAGTTCTGGAAGATTGTATTTTTCTAGGAATTTGTCCATTTTGTCCAGGTTGCCCAGCTTTTTGGCATATAGCTGTTCATAGTATTTTCTTACAATCCTTTGAATTTCTGTGGTATCAATTGTTACTTCACCTCTTTCAGTTTTAATTTTATTCATTTGGGTCCTCTCTCTTTGTTTCTTTATGAGTCTGGCTAAAGGTTCATCAATGTTATTTACCTCTTCAAAGAACCAGTTTTTGGTTTCATTGATTTTTTGTATTGTTCTTTTTGTCTCTATGTTATTTATTTCCACTCTGATCTTTATTATTTCCTTCCTTCTACTTTGGGCTATCCTTGTTGTTCTCTTTCTAATTCTTTATATTTTAGGGTTAGATAATTTATTAGAAATTTTTCTTGTTTTTTTTTGTTTTTTTTTAGGTAGGCCTGTAGTGCTATGAACTTCCCTCTCAGGACTGCTTTTGTTGCGTCCCATAGATTTGGGATTGTTGTGTGTTTATTTTCATTTGTTTCAGGAAGCTTTTGATGTCTTCCTTGATCTCATTGGTAACCCATGCATTGTTTAATAGCTTGCTATTTAGCTTTTGTGTGTTTGAATTTTTTAAGTGTTTTTATTGTAGTTGATTTCCAGTTTCATGCCATTGTAATTTGAGAAGATTCTTGATATGATTTCATTCTTCCTGAATTTTTAGAGACTTTGTTTGTGTCCTAACATGTGGTTTGTCTTTGAGAATGACCCATATGCACTTGAGAAGAATGTGTATTCTATAGACATGGAGTGGAATGTTCTCTAACTGTCAATTAATTCCATCTGATCTATTATGTCATTTAGGATCACTGTTTCCTTGTTGGTGTTTATCTAGAAGCTCTATCCAGTGATGTCAGTGGGGTGTTAAGTTCCCCCAATTTTATTGTATTGTTGTTGATCTTTTCCTTAAAGTCCTCTAGAAGTTTTTTTAATATATTTGCATGCTCCTTTATTAGGTACATATATGTTTACCAAGGTTGTACCCTATTGTGGTTTGATCTCTTTAGTATTATGTAGTGATCTTCATTGTCTCTTATGGCCTTCATTTTGAAGTCTATTTTGTTAGATATGAGTATTGCTACCCAGCTTTTTCTTTTCATTTCCGCTTGCATCAAAAAATTTTTCCATCCTTTCACTTTCATCCTGTGTAAGCCTTTGTTCATAGTGAATGTCTTATAGACAGCATATATATGGGCCATGTTTTCTTATACATTCAGCTACCCTATGTGTTTTGATTGGAGCATTTAAGCCCTTTATTTAAGGTTACTATTGAAAGGTACTTACTATTATTTTTAAAAATATTTTTATTGGTTTCAGAGAGGAAGAAAGAGGGAGAGAAAGATAGAAACATCAATGATGATAGAGAACCATTGATTGGCTGCTCCCTCGATGCCCCCTACTGGAGATCTAGCCCACAATTCGGCACGTGACCTAACTGGGCATCCAACCATGACCTCTTGGTTCATAGGTTGACGATCAACCACTGAGACACTCCAGCCACATGAGAAGTACTTATTTATTGTATCTCTCAATAGTAACCTTAAATGTAAGCTCTTTACATTTTAATTTTTTAAAAGATATTTTTATTAATATTTTACAGAGAGGAAGGGAGAGGGATAGAGAGTCAGAAACATCAATGAGAGAGAAACATTGATGAGCTGCCCCCTGCATGCCCCCTACCGGGGATCAAGCCCACAACCAAGGTACATGCCCTTGACCAGAATCAAACCTGGACCCTTCAGTCAGAGGCCTGACTCTCTATCCACTGAGCCAAACCAATCATAGCCATATTTATTCTTTATGCATTTGTTCCTCTCTTTCTTTCTATCTCTTCCTCTTACACCAGTTTAGCATTTCTTGCAATGCTGATTGGGCAGTAATAAATTCCTTTAGCCTTTTTTGTCTGAGAAGCTCTTTATTTCACCTTCAATTTTAAATGATAGCCTTGTTACGTATACAACAAGGCAGTGTTGGGTTCAGTCTTTTGCTTTTCATTATTTTGTGTGGTTTATGCCACAACCTTCTGGCCTGAGGTATTTCTATTGAGAAATCACTGGAAGTCTAATGGGAGATCCCTTGTAGGCAACTTTCTGTCTTTCTGTTGCTACTTTAAGATTCTTTCTTTGTCTTTACCATTTACAAGTTTAATTTTGATGTGTCTAGGCGTGGGTCTTTTTCAGTTCATCTTGATTGGGACTCTATGTGCTTCCTGAATTTTTTTCTCTTGTTTAAAATATTACATATAGTATTACATATGTTTCCAGCCCCCTCCCCCATTGACCTCCCCGCATCCACCCCCACTCCCAAGCACATGCCCTCACCCCCCTAGTGTCTGGGTCTAATAGTTATGCTGATATGCATGCATACAAGTCTTTTGCTTGATCTCTTACCCCCTACCCCCTCCTTCCAACTGAAGTTTGAGGGTCTATTTGATGCTTCTCTGTCTCGGTATCATTTGTTCATCAGTTTATGTTGTTCATTATATTCCACAAATGAGAGATCATGTCATATTTCTCTTTCTCTGACTGGCTTATTTTGCTTAGCATAATGCTCTCCTGGTCCATCCATGCTGTTGCAAATGGTAAGAGTTCTTTCTTTTTTAAAACAGCTTACCATTCCATTGTGTAGATATACCACAGTTTTTTAATCCACTAATCTGCTAATGGGCACTTAGGCTGTTTCCAAATCTTAGCTATTGTAAATTGTGCTGCTATGAACATAGGGGTGCATATATCCTTTCTGATTGGTGTTTCTAGTTTCTTGGGATATATTCCTAGAAGTGGGATTACTGAATCAAATGGGAGTTCCATTTTTTTGAGGGGGGGAGGGGAGGAGGAAAGAGAGGGAGGTCAGAGAGAGAGGGAACCCAAGATTTCCATTCATCCTTTTTTAATTTTTTGAGCAAACTCCATACTGTTTTCCACAGTGGCTGCATCAGCCTGAATTCCCACCAGCACTGCATGAGGGTTCCTTTTTCTCCACACCCTGACCAGCACTTATCATTTGTTGATTTGTTGATGATAACCATTCTGACATGTATGAGATGGTATCTCGTTGTTTTGATTTGCATCTCTCAGATGATTAGTAACTTAGAGCATGTTTTCATAAGTCTCTTGGACTTCTGTATGTCCCCTTTTGAAAATTCACTATTTAAGTCCTTTGCCCATTTTTGACTGGACTGTTTATTTTCTTTTTGTTAAGATGTATGAGTTCC